CTTAAACACACACACACACACACACACACACACACACACACACACACACACACACACACACACACACACACGGCTCTAACTCATTTAATTTGACCTGAAGTCTGGTAGTAAAGTGTCTGAAAGTGATTCCCAGCACATACTGGGAAACATCCTTTAGACAGGTCTCAAGACCATCACAGACAGTGCCACACAGATACAAAGGGGACAAACAACCAGCCATGCTCCTCCTCCCACCAAGGGAACATTTAATTACCAATTAACTTAGGAGTTTGGTCTGTGGGAAGAAACCAAAGTACCAGCAGAAAGCCCATGTGTTCATRGGGAGAACATGCAAACTTCAAACAGAAAGTGTAAATGTGAATATTTACCAAAGCTTTATWAAAACCCATATGATGTTCATTAAATATTTTGCTTTTTGACCAACAGAAATATAGTCAAGTAGTTGACAATATATAGTCWTTGGCAACATTTTAAACAGTGCTGATGTGCAATCTGTTGTTAGAAAAGAGTTTTAGCTACCCCTACATCAAATTTTATGCCAATATTTTCAAATGATAAGTTAAAATTGTACCAATGATTACTGTCTGCAAATTTCATTAAAATCTGTCTGGTGGTTAACGAGATATTTTGCCAAAAACACAAAGACATGATCAATTTCATGAAAGAGAGCATTTTTAATTAACATGTTGCATTTGTTGTTTTTCTGTGTTTGCTAAACATAAATTTGCAGGGTCCACCTGGACCCAGAGGAGGACCCGGTGTTTCAGGGCCACCTGGTCCACCTGGACCACCAGGGCCTGTGGTAAGAACCCATCATTTKTTTACTATTAGGTCATGCTGTCTTATATTTTACATAGTGTAACACATGTTGTACTAGTGAGCTTTAAAACTACTTGCAGCTGGTTACATTTGTGGTTTCTGCTCCTGACTGTCAACACCGGCTGATGCTGGATATGAATCATGTTTCTGTTAAACCTTCACTTCTGCCACCTGTGTCTCTGTCACCACAAACACTACTTTGGTCCCTCTGCAGTGGCTCTAAGTAGTTTTGACTGAAAAAAAATAACATGAAAACGAAGAATGATGTTCATAAATGCAATAAAGGAGACTAGTTAAGGAGTTATCTTGTCCAATTTTATACAAATTTGTGAAAAGAATTTCTCTGACAAAAATATGTAAAATACTAAAAAGAGTTAAAGAGTGAAATAAAAATGAATGATAATGCAGCTAAAAGTATTACAAAATGAGTTCAATGATTTTATTACATTTTGCGGCATTGTTTCATAATACAGCTTTGCAGGGAGGTTAAGTAAATAAATCAGAGCAAATGGACCCTACTCATGGTTATTATATAACCTTTAAAGCATCATATGAAGACCCTCAAATGCATCGTAATGTATAGTCCCTGACTAAAATTAAAACAAATACACTTCAACCCAAAATACAAACATGCTTACCCTTAATCTACCCACTAACCAGTAAAAACTGCACATTAGACTTTGCCTCAACTGAATTCTTACAAGAGGTTCAAGCATTAATTTTGAACTGGAAAATACAGGGTAAAAAAAGAAAGGTAACAAAAAACGAGATAGAGTAAAAGATAGAAAAGGTAAGTTGGGTTTCCTTCCATCCATCCATCCATTTTCTTCCGCCTATCTGGGGTCGGGTCGCGGGGGCAGCAGCTTCAGAAGGGAGGCCCAGACCTCCCTCTCCCCAGCCACTTCTTCCAGCTCC